ATAAACATATCAAAAAATTGCAATGCGTAAAACTGTGTTGAACGGATATCGAAAATATTCAGGTGTTATGTTCGATAACAATTTGAGACGGAACCGCGTGTTAATGATCTGACAGAACAGCTTCGCTCCATATCTTATAAATTTGTTAAATTTAGAGATGTGTTTCCACCGGTAGGAACTATACGGAATATCTGTTTTGCCTCTTACCGATCCATTTTTTGGTATGGACTTTTATATTTTTTAAATACTCCAGACTTCTTGTTCGTTATTGTCCGCAGAATTTTTAAATGAACTGAAATGTAACGTTTAATTACTCAAATAACTTTTATATAACTTTAGATTATTAAACGGCATATTATATAATTTAGATAAGGTTAAGCTTACATATTTACACGACTTCGTACAAAATTACATGTACGTCAATTGACGTGATTTATCTATATTTTTTCAAATGTGTTTTTTTCAAATTTATCTATTCATCTTAAACCATTATTTGAACGGGTTGTAACTCATTAAGTCATTAAGTCAAGTACTTGTAATTCATATTTAACAAATACATTTCGGCTGAGAAGAACCTAACCTGACAATGAAATAGGTACTCTTAACCACAATGTAGCCCTTGGGTAACTTTCAGGTGCACCATGTTTATTATGGTTCTCCTATACGCAAATTCGTACCGACAAATGTTATTATATAATACTTTCGAGGCACCAACCTATGTGACTAATAACGTGTAAAACTGCAGCTTTTTCTAATTATATGGCGTTTAACAGTGTTATGACCAAAACTAAAAACTACACAATTGTTATCAGATATTATCAAGACTGGCTGTAACTAAGACGTGTATAACACTTATTTCATAATCGTAAATATCATTTTCGTAGAGAAAAATTACACGAACATATTGATTTATTTTAAAGCGTATAAATAACAATATGTGTATTGTGTTAGCAAACGATGTGTTAACAATTATGTTCCAAGACATTACATAAGCTTCTCCCGTAAATCACACTCTTATCGTTGGATAATTTCAAATGAATCTTGTTGTACACTTTACGGGCCAAGTGTCGAGCGTGGTTTGCGTTTGCGAATTGTCCGGATTCGTGACCGTCCAGCACGTGGTCTTTCAGTAGGTACGTACAAAATAAGAGACGCGAATGAATCGCACAGCTGAAAAATTCGAGTTATCGTTGCTGCTATAAAGTTGAACATAAAATGATTCGTGGACGACCCAGCTAAAGGGCATTTTACACGAACGTGACGTTATGTCGTCACAATCGTAGCGTCGCATTAAGTGCAATTCGTCGAATTATCAGGTACTAAATCAAAAGTTACATAAACACCAATCAAGACGCGTATTTTCTGTAACGCAATGACTGGTATAAATACAAGTTACCGATGGTGTATTATAACAACATGAAATTCCAATGACAATGGCGGTACGGCGTGGTAAATAAAAAATGAAAAAAAAAACGAACGTTTATGAAAATATCAAAATAATGACCCTCAGTCTATTCGCAAGTCGAACACAACCATATCAACGTATGTCTGCAAGACGTTAAAGATGCATTTTTCTGGTCTTGTATAATCCGTTTCGCCGTACGATGAGAACCGTCTGTAAACAATGTGAACAGGATGGTATGAAAGTATTTAAGAAATATTTAGTCCGTTAAACGTTATATCATAACTTTGTTGTGCGTATTACACATAACGTACACGCGAATAATTATACACAATGTACATAGAACGTACTTCTTGACGGATGTAAATCTGGCATCTGGTTTTGTTTCGTCTGAATTCATTGCTCGCTACGTAATGTTAACCCATTTATATTCACTGCTAGACAAAACAAAATACTATTATAGATATTGAACATTGTGATGTTTCTCGTCGTCCCGTTAAAATTCATAAACTTTTTTCGGTTTTAAATTAAAAAAAAATATATTCTACTATGCTAATTGTTTTTAAATTTAAATTGTTATTCATTCTAAAACTTTAGTCTATACTGATTTACAACAATTATTAAGTACATACTAATTACATATAGTATGTGTTTTTTTTATTCTCGGTTAAACTTTTATGATTAGTTACACAATAATTATTTTCAAAAATAAATCAAACAAATATTTCGCTATAATATACTGCCCACCTTGTTTATGATTAATAAATGGATCGGTTTAATATTACAGTTCAATAAACAGTTTATAAATGTGAAATACTTTCTTTTTTTTATTGGTCAATATCATCATGACTTCTAAAATGTACTTTATAGGATTTAAATGATGATACCATCAATGTGAAATAATACTAGTATTATCTAAAGTTTTTAATTAAATATATCAAATTTTTTTATAGTATCTTCGTTATTGATGATTTATGACGAATATACTTTTGTAATATTTCTACGTAGTTATCAACATTCTTTCGATTCGTGAGAAATATCAAAACGGTATAGTATATCTTTAGCGAATAGTTTTATTCGTTGTGATTATTTTTATTTAAAATCATGACATCGAATTCGTAGCAGGTGCGCACTAAGTGTCATTATTATAGGAACGCCATTATTAGCATTTCTCGACAAGATAAATCATCAATACGTATTATATTATATAATACCAAAACTATATATTACTATATGGTGAGTGTGCGCATTCGCTTAGTGAAATTCAATGTGAAAATGGTAATTTCGTTAAATTGTATGAACTGTATTATTAAATGTATCTACATATAAGGAATATATCGTTTTATTATAGTGTGACAGTTAGTCGCTTATGTCGACTTTGTGAAACTCATACTCATTTTGAATACTTAGTGAAATTATCACAAAATATTTCACACCATAAAATACATTGTAGGTAAGCAATTTTTTATTAAAATTTGAATATATGGTGTTATTTTAAAAAAATGTATTGTTTTTATTAATATTATTTATCGTAAAGTTTTGCACTGCGTACTTTCTAAAACGTTTTTGGGTCATTATTTTTATCCAATTTCAATTGGATAAAAAGGAGTATGATCACTGCTTCAGTTGTATAGTATTGGTACTTGATATTTGCGAACATTCAATAATATTAAGAAACATTTAATTATTTGCAAACTTTTTGAATAATTAACACGTTTTTACTAAAAATAACGAAATGTGTTGTGGTAAATCGATTAATTTATGCTACCTCGTATTGTACCAAAATAAAGTATAAAACAATAATTTGATAAATTAACTTGAATAATTATATGTAAATAAAAATTTATTAAAAAGTAATAAAACTTGAACTGTGAAGAAGAAATAATATAAATAATAATATATAACATTAATAATAAATAATATATACAAACATGTGTTTATTAAGAACAAATATCTGATACTTATATAAACTTCTAGGTACACCGTGGAAGTTTATTGCAACGCATAACTCTTGATATTGGTTGGTAGGCAATAAATGAGGTAATCACACTAATAAGGACAGTTAATAATTTTACTACACATTTATCATATAGGAGTAAAGCGTAGATGAATACTTGTAATATACTTTAATTTTAAGCACATACGAGTATCATTAATGTATACCTATACTGCAATATTATTGCACAATTTCAGTCATAATATTATTACTAAATAAAAAAATTGTGATCTAGCAAGAACTCGCGAGATCATTCTGCCATTGCGAGTATTGAATATATGTATGTTTAATATACAGTCAGTACCCCAAATTCATCGCATAATATATGTGAAAGTAAACATTTATGCACAAAATAATTATGTATGATCCGATGTGCCGACAGCCGAGATGTTCTTTTAGAGTTTTTTTTCCTGAACACGTACATCGAATTCGAGTGGTGACGAAACAAAAACATACGCGTCATGTTTCAAAATGTATGTACTGAACGCAATTTGTTTGCAATTTGTTGGTAATAAGTAATAAATTGTACAAAACTAATAGGTAATTACTATACATGTTAAGAATGTTTAGTAAACCGTATTGGTCTTAGATTTTTTTTTTTTTAATAAAACTCACGAATGTTCTAGCATTAATGAAAAGTTACAGGTCACACAAATCTATTTCTTTCTTCATCATTAAACACACATACAAAAACAAACAAAAATAAATAATTATATGCTAATTGATGCTGATAAACCGTCAACTAATTAAATATTTGGTTCATCGGTCAAACTATACTGGTTTTTAAATAACACGACAAAAATAAGGGAAAAGAATGACACCGTGAATGCAAAATATGTTTACAAGTAAAAGACAACAATAATCAATTATAGTATTATATAAAACTAAACATTGTTCAAACTTAAAGTTAAAGGTTTCAAAAACAGAAAAATACGGTATCGAAAAACTCATTTATGAAATAATACCCTAGTAATATTTTTATCATATGGATTTAAATCGATATTAAGTTATAAATATATATATTTTAAATATCCTAAATATTAAATAGCTATAAAGTGCTAACAATTTTAAAAGATCATACACGTACTATGGATGTAATCATTTAATACAAAATCGAGTAAGTTTTTATTTGAAATCATTGATATATTAATATATTAATCATTGATATATCAACTATTATAATCTAAAAACTATTCCGAATAGAGAAGCGCTATAAGACATTATTTCAACAATCACATGCACATTATTCTTTTTATATATTTTTTGTTATAATGAAGTTTGAGAATATAGATGTGTAATATATATAAATCTTAAAATTACATTTTTATCGTTAGATGAATTAAACAATTTACATTTCAATATTTTTTCATTGTATTTTTATCATTGAAATCTAACTTACAAGCAGATTAAAAAAGTTCTGATCTCAGTGTTCGTCCTCTGAAGTGTTAATATTATTATTAATCGCATACATCTGAAAGCTCTAAATAAGTACTGACTGTTTTTATTTAATGTGAAATGAGTTCTAATAAAAATATCTAACAAGAAAATTGAAAAATTACTTCTATAAAGTATCAAAAAGTTGCATTTTCCGATGTAATGAGATATGGTTTAAAACTAATGGTACAGATTTACTATTAATAATACTATATAATCATAAATTTGATCGAATTTATAAACGAATTTTTTTTTTTTTTAATAAACATTTATTTTCATTACTGATACAGTACAGTGCAACGTCATTGTTTTCAGTAAGTACACCCCAAAAGTCCAAACAACTGCAATTGCAAATTACGCCGATGTCGTGCCCGGATGTGTGCGTGTGCGCGTGTGAACGATAATGGATAGTTTGTCCGAAGGGCCTTCCGGAGTCGTGGCCGTCACAGTGTAGACATAAATTATGTACGTACAGTATTGATTTCGCACGGCCGCAAAGTGAGACGTCATGTACGTTGTACACATTTAGGTTGTCAACGAAAAGATTAGTGCAACGAGGTGACGGCGGCAATCCCTGGCCGATTTCGGTCACGTCCACGGGCAACCGACCATTTCCGGCGTTCTTAGGTCCGTCAAATTACACGTTTGGATTCCGTCGCTCGCAACGAATAATGTAATATTGCGAAGCCGTCGTGTACCGTGGACCAGCGTTTCTCTTTCATTTCTTCATTCGCGTACCCCTTGACCTCTCGCCGTTGCTTTACGTACTCGTAAAACTGTCAATTTGTCTATTTTCGTTCAGGATCGATAAGAAATTACAAAATTAGTTTTAACGGAAAATAATAATTACGTAGTATTTATTTATCGTAATCAGTATGCACCATATAATGTATATAAGAAAATAATTTAACTGTAATGTGATCCTTAATATTGTTTGGTAACACTTGGTTTTTGAAATCTGGTTTTACAGATGATAAGTGTACTCACAAAGTCTACAATGAAACTTATTTTTGATGAACGTATATGAGACGAAAAAGTCTTTTCCACAAACACAGTGCTCGTCAAATATCAAATAATTCATAAATAATTTATTAAATCTAATACATCAATACTTACACTTTCCATCTTTGCCCTTTTTTTCCCGAGTACCCTCTCGTATCTTTTTGCGTACCCCCGGTAGAAAAACATTGCCATAGACGACAAAGACTGAAAGCGAAACATGCGGAAACGATGCGTCGAGATGATACGATGTACGTAAACTATACGTTTACGGGTACGGTAGTGATTAATTTCGATGTCCTAAGCTGTTAATCAAAGTAAAAGTTATTTACTGCAAAGTTGAAATTAATTTAAGACTTAAATTATAGAGGTCGGTCAAAGATTGTGACGGAGAATTTGAAAGTTTTAAGTATTTGAATTTAAGGATCTCTAACAAAAACTCTAAAGTAAATTGTTAAATGTTTAATAACCAAAGTCAGTATATTGAGTTTTTCAAACATTTAACAATTATTAAAGCGACATAGTCAAATATACTCTGTGGCTGTCTGTATTACATTTTTAATTTATCCGACTGATTACTTAATTTGAAATGCAAAACTATCCGGTTTCGATTTAGAACATTCTTGTGTTTAATGAAAACTAATTTGCAAAACAATAAAATTAACATGCATGGACTTACATTTCATAAATCGTGTATATTATATATAGATGAATTTCAATACACAACAATACATGATCAATATACACAACAAATATGACGCCGCAAATTAAAATGCTTAGGCTTTAGAGAATTTTTCATGATATTTGGCAATGTCAAATTGTTAAACAATTATTATTGATAAGCGCTAAAAGTATTTAAACTTTATGTTTCTGATAAATTTACACTTTTTTTTTGTGTGACATTTTCCTTTTTTCATTCATTCAGTCCTTCGGTGTTCATACGGAACTCTATGCACTTACCACTGCATGCATGTACTGTGGTAAATACGGACAATCCCGTGTACATCCAACAGTCGTATTATTTCACAAGTTGGTCTATGATGGAAAAGAGCTAAAACACATCATATTGGTTTATGGGTCTATAGTAGTAATAAATGTTTGGACATGATAAGACCAGGAATATGCCTTATATAATAATAAACCTGTCGAAAACAACAGATACGTAACCCATACGTATATATTATTATATATACATCGGCCGGTAGCCGAAGAAAAACGGGTTGTCGGTCGTGGTCAACGGCAAGATCCGAAAAATTCTGAGAATCAAGCAAGTATCGAAACTCGAAAATGTAAGACGCATTTTACATTTATTACATGGCGAAACGAATCGCGCGGTATTTGCACGTGGTTCCAAACGTGTGTTTTGCGTATTATTTATTTTTTAAGAATTTTTTTTTTTATAATACGGAAGTTTCCGTACGACAAAAACGGACGTGCATAGGTCTAGCGGCTGCACCTACGTACGCAAGTACGGAACGCGTAACGCGCGATCGAAAGGGGTCAACGAGTGCGCGCGGGGCAACAAAGACTTGCGCGGTGACGAGGCTGTCCGCCGGTGTGTCGAGCGAAATGCGTAAATCACACAAGTCCGGTGAAATTCCCATTCCCCTCCCGCTGTCGCGATCCCCCTAGCGCGCTTTCGGATCACTCACGGGTAATCACTACGTCCGCCCACGATTTAATAATAATAATGATGATAGTAATAATAATAATAATAATAATAATAATAATATTACGTATATTGTAACGATAACAATAACGTTCCGAAGCTGACGAATTTCGAGCGCGCGTAGGCACCGTAATTATGTCGTTAATATTATTATTAGTGTTGACGAACACGGTTGGGGGGGGGGGGCAGCGCCGGACAACGTTAATGGCTTCGTGTACGCGCGTGCGTGACCGGATTACGCGGCGGAAAACGGAAGCGCGAAATGGTCAAAATGCTGAGTTTGCCCGCGGGGACGACCGACCGAACCCGGTGCCGCCACGCGTCGAAAACCACCGCGTGAAGATGGATTCGCCGCTGTTCTGCCACCGCGAGTCCGGACCCCGTTCCGTTGCCACGGTAAACGACAAATGATGTATGGCAAATCGTCATATGGTTAATGAACACGAGTCGTTGTGTCCATAGGCGTGTCCAAGGGGGTATGCACTTGTACCCCCTGCGAGATGAAGCGGCCACTGCCGCAAACCCATACTAACTTTCTACAAAACCAAAGTGAATCCGCATAATTATCTATTGGCATATATGAATATAATAATACGAATATCCTGTAATTATTCACCTATATCACTATCACTAGTCTTTTAAGCGAGCTAATTTAAAGGAAATATAAAACATTAATAATAATTAAGGTAGTAAAAATAAAACAATGTATTATAAATTGCAATACAAACCTAAAAGACCTTTCAACGCTATATGTAGTAGGTGGAAATGTAGCTGCTTGTAAAGGACATTTTTTTATTGAAGGTAGAAATGTAACTACATCTAATAACTTCAGAAAATTCATATTGTTATAATTTTTTTTTTCCTTATATTGTACCATCTAGGCCTTCTTCTTAGATATTCTCTATGAATTCTCCATAAAATAATTTTAGATTTTGAAGTTATATGATAAATTCTTCTTTTTTTAGTTTGTTTTAAGTACTTAAGATGAACTGAAATAATCTCATATTTTGAATTATCTTCTGGAAACTTTTTATTTAAAGAGTGATCAGTGAATCTAAGTATGTAATGTAAATAGATTTTCTGTAGTAGTTTTCTAGACCTAATGAAAGGGGCAGTGGCGTATACAGAAAATATTTTCGGGGGGGGGGGGGACTACTATGGACAGAGTTAAATTACCACTGCTATCTAAGAATTAACAAGACACAGCAGGTACTTATCCACATTTCATTTACAGTATGTCCCAAAATGATTTGACGTTGGATGCAAATTCTAAATAAGCATAAAGCACCATTAAAATATAACAAACGTTTAAAATAATTTTTAAATTTTTTAAAACATTTCGGGGGGGGGGTTGTAGCCCTCTAGGCACCCCTTCGCTATATACGCCTCTGAAAGAGGGGTTACTTCTCAAAGTTTATTTTGATGATACTCTTGGAGTCATTAATGTAATATCAAGTTCATTTAAGTACAAATTAATATCTTTCATTAAAATTAGAAACATTTCTTCGTTATTAGCTCTATCATCCTTGATTTACTTAATAAGGTTTTTAATATTTTTATTTGTACTAAATAAATCACAATTTATTCCCTATAAAGAATTGGTTATAGGTTCTATAATTATAGAATATTTATCTAGGTATTATTCTAAGTCGCACAATAAAGTGAGATGTGATAGCAAAATTTAAATGATGTACCTTTATTCCCATTTACTTTAAGGTACTCTAGTGCTTCCGCTCTCAACAGGAAATTTTCATAATATTCTCTTATTACCTTATGTGACTCCAACCACCTCGTGACACATAATTTTGTAAGACTTGTAGCAACTATTCGACGCAATGAACTTTCTTTAAAAAAGTTTATAATTTCTTTAATAATACCAATTGTATTCCGATTACATGGCACTGAGTTCAATTCATTTAAAACCAAGTTTAATCTATGACTAGCACAATAGACAAAAACTTAAAATTAGGGCCATGGCCCCTCCCCCCTGTGGGCGCCCTTGCCTTTACTTACAGTGTTAAGAAATATTTATGGTAAACGATAATACTTATAATATTATAGAGTATTTGAAATTTATATATTATATTATGTCCAGAATATAAAATGAACCCCCCCCCCTAATAATTATCTGGATCCGCGACTGTTTGTACCGTTACCCGATATTCCGATGTATGTAACCGATTTTTATTAAAAGTCAACTTTTTCGGCAAAAACCATGAATCGATACCAGATGAAACCGATATTACATAAAATAAACATTAGTTTATATTTGTAAGTACGCAGTTTTATTTGCAAATAAACTATTATGTCAAAAACATTGTATCTAAAGAACAAACAAAAAATAAATAAATAAATAGCCAAGAATTGTTTACTTGTCAGTATTTATACCGTTCCTTTAGTCTCAGATATATTAAACAAAAAAAAAAAAAAAATAATTTAAATTAAAAATAAAAATTGATTTCAATGTTTAAAACAAAGTTTAAACAATAATATTAAAATTGAAAATAATACCAAATAACAGTGTTCCTTTACATTCATAACAAAAAAAAAATAAATAAAAAATAATAATTAAAAATAATAAAAAATCACAATACTCCTTTTAAGTTTTACCAAATTGACAATTTAAAAAAAAAATCAAAAAATACTAACCAAAATGTAAAACACTAAACAATTTAATCGAAATAATAAAAACTTAAAATTAATTGTATTAATTATAATTTAAAACAGATTTAACAAATATTAAAATTTAAATTAAATAAAAAAAAGAATAATTATAGATTTAATTTCATGTATTTAATATTTTTTGAGATAAATATTACTGACAATAATAAATAATTTGTACTATCCATATTTTTTGTTAGTTATATATTATTTTATGGTGATGATTTTTTTTATGCGGTATCGGTTCAAACATCGGTTTTGAAAAAAACTTATACCGATATACCCGATATCAAGTATGAGTTCTAGGATCGGTCAGCTCCTAATATATAGTATACTTGTATACTTATTACCTTTAGATTAGATTAAACTTTTGGTTCCTATATGTTCTCCATGTAAACAAATTTCATATTCTTTTTTAGTATGGCTGTTTTCTTACTACAAGATGATTCATGTAGTGTTTTGGTGTTCCACAATGAAATGGTTTACCTATTCATTGGCGCAACTATAGCTCAAATACTGGGGGTGCTCAAATTACTGAAAATAAAATTAATGGTGTTCACTGTTATTAATATTGATTGACCTTTCTAAAAACCGGGGGTGCTAAAGACCCTCTTCTTGTACCTCCCTAGTTGCTCCTATGGTTGAACAGTGTGTGACGCTTGCAGGCGATTATACTACTTACATTATCGTTCGAAATGGTGATACGCCTACGTCATGAACTCGAACATGGATCGGCATTTCACTATTCCGGTTCCATTTACACAGGTACGTTGTAGCCGCTGGCCATAACGAAGTGAAACGCAATAACGACCGTTGACCAGTCCGATTTTTCACCCGAAACACTTTATGGTTCCGGATAGAGGTGTCCATATGTCACGTATTTTGTCCGACCTTATACGACGCGATCACGACGTGCGATTTATTTGTTTTTCAAAAACCAACTGAGTAAAAGTGGTTATGGCGTTAGAAAAAAATTGAAATAAAACATTTGTTTAAACAACAGTTGTTGGGAAGAAAAACATTTCACAAATCTGTCCTGAATGCCAATTAGTGGAACCCACGGTTTGAATTTTGAACAATTTTATTTTATTTTTATTGATTCATAAAAATACACTTATACGTATGAAAAAAATGGACCATGGATACCCTGATGTTCGAGCAATCGCACAAATTGTTTGATTCATAAGTAACACGCTGGTACGTTCACTTATACATCTGTCAGTTTCAATACACGCGACCCATCAAAAATAGAACAACTGAGGTGTACATGTATTTAATTTATACTATAAATTATTCATTATCATTTGATATATAGGGTTATATCATAATACAAGATGAATGACCCAATCTCGCACAAGAAATATTTTACTATTTTAGATTAATGCAATCAATAATTACCATTTCAAGATAAAATAACGCATCATAGATAATAATTATATTTATTTTTATTTATTCATACTAGATATGTTTAGTTACATTTATCAAAATTGATAATTATTAAATTCAACGTACCAAACTAAAGAAAATATATACATATCCAACACAACCAAAAAGTGACATATACACATTAAGGTCGTCCTCTAATATATATAAAAAAAAATAATTAAAATTTTTCATAAAACCCCCTCTTAAAAAAAAGTTCCATTACTAGAACATTTTATACACTAGACATTTATGTGCTATTGCTTTTTTCTATGAAGTTATGCCACTGGAGATAAAAAAAAGTTATTCTTGCTCTAAAAAATAACAAATGTTCATCAAAATTAAGTTAAAATGCCCAACGTTTAATTATATCTCCAAAAAATTCAAACGAGTTATAAGAAAAGGAAATCAATGATTTCATGTGTCAATACTAAAAAACTATTTAAACAATTTGCTATCAATACCAATTTTTTAAATAAAGACCCTTTAACTGTACAAATAATGAAGAATATAATAAAACTCTGTTAATTTTAAAAAATATTAAAATTATAAATGATGTTACAGAAAGAGTATAACTTATAGAGAACTATAACAACAAAATAACCAAAGATGAATCTCAAAAACAATACCTACCTACTTTGTTGTTAATGACTACTGCCTAGACCAAAAAAAATAAATACTTATACAGTAATACATGTAGTTATATAATTTAAATATTTAAGTAACTATATTATTTATTGGAAATTGTTTTTATAGTTATTTATTTGTATTTGAAGTTGCCGGAAATATTTCAATTTTTTAGATTATTTTTTTTAACATTTCAATTAAAATATTTGCAATTTAATATATGCAAAACAAATAATAGTAAATTAAAATGTATGTCATTGGTGTTTAACTAATTTTTCATAATAATTTTTACCAAAGTTATGTTTAAGAATATCAAATATAACAATAGCAATAATAATAATATGGCTCACATATAATGTAATTAAACATTTTTTTGGTGTTTAGACCCGTAAAATTAAATTAAATGAAATAATAAAAACTACATATAAAATATGACAAATTACTTTTTATTTATAAACAAATATTTATTAAGTTAACAAAAAAGAATAAGGCTAGAAGAAGTTAGAAACGACCAAATATCTTTCCTTTTGGTTTTACATTTATCAACTCTTGTATTTCTTCGAGTTGTGGTAATTTGGAAATATTACCACGGGCAACAACTGTCAGAGGAGTATCCAATATTTTCTTGACAACTCTCACTACATCGTCTTCAGTAACATTTTCTAGTAAAAACAAATTTAAAAAAAAATAATATTTTAATACAAGACATGTTACTTAAAATAGTAACAATAAGAGAATTAATTATTATGAATAATTCAGTAAAGAACAATTCCCACTGCTTCAAATGCTGTCTGAGCTATTTATTTTTAAGCAAGTAGAGTAAACTAGGACAGATATTTACACTAGAAAGAGCCTTTACCCAAATTAACATACTATTTTGTCCACATCCTGTATGAAATTTGTTATTATCACACAAGACATATTTAGTCCAGTGTAATGCCACCATAATTATTTATAAATATAATGAGAGTATATAAAAATAACATCAGAAAAAAACTTAAAGGTTTTTAAATAAGACTGGGTATTTTAGTTTAAATTAAATACTTAGAAAACTCAATATTTTCATTAAATATTACCGATTTCCTGGAGAAGTTCTTCTGGTCGTTTTCTATAGCCACAAGCCAAAATTTGCCTAACCATGTCTTCAAATACAATTGGACGAGCTTCTAAGTTCATCAGTAATAGAGACTGCAATTGTTTTTTTGCTCTCTATAAAATAAGTATTATCTTTAATTTTAAATATGATAAAAAAAAAAATTACGTACAGCAAGCTCTTCTCTTTGAATATTATTGGCCATATTAGCCATTTCAAACACAATAACTTTAACCATGTCACGTACATAATGTGGTTCAGAACTAGCATGAATACAAAATAAGCCACTATCCGTGTAAGCATGATTGTAAGCTGTTGCGCTGTACAACCAACCATATCTAAAAATATAAATATCATATACTATAAATTACAAAAAATCAAATAATTATAAATGAATATGCTAACATCATTAGTTCTCTTTTTAATATATCTGTAGCATATTTACAGGGGGGGGGGATCAAGGGGATCAATCCCTCCTATAGAATGTATACATGCAAATAATTATAGCCATCATATTATTTAAAATATTATATATATATATATATATATATTTTTATCAATAATTGATTACATTTACAAGAATTAAAATATTATAATATATTGTATATGCTCATTGGTATCTCATCGGTAACTGGTCTATGGTCAGTGATCACACCGGGTCTATGCAATCCGTATTATCATAGAACAAGAACATATTATCGTCGTTATGGCATATCCATTCTTATATTATTTATGGGTATGATAGATATAAATACTATATCACCTAATCACCGCGATTTAAAATATACTTTACTATTTACAAGACTTAGGAGGTGGGGGACATTGTTGTAATTACTGCATGAAGTCATATTCCCCCCCACCATTACCAAAACCTAAATACGCCACTGATATATATAAGCAATTATAATTAAAAATAATTTTTTATAAATAATCTCACCGATTTAAAACATTTCTATATAGTCTCGTATACATTCCTTTACCCGGTCCTCCTGCGCTAAAAGATCCGCCACCGCCCATCATCAAATTCAACACACATGATGGAACAAAATCATTAGTACCCACTAATGGTATAGACTCAAGTCCAATCATTACATGTGATAAAACAGCTAAGCCAGATGGTCCAGGAAATCCAGGAATATCACAATCTTCCTATAAAATTTAAAAATAAATTAAATATTTAACATTTAATAATTATACGAATGAAATAATAAATACATACTTTGATGATTCCACCTGTATATTGTGGTATTGACTTATCTATACTAATAGTATCCAGATTTTCATTGTCCCAAATTGGTTTTTCATCAATAAAGTACCTGTGTAAAACAAATATGTAACAAATCTAAAGACAATAAAAATATAAAAATATATTTTCATTTAATATAATATATTATAATATACTTTTGTACACTGTCAACAAGTTGTTGATGATCTACTCCAACTCCACCAACAACAATTTGTTCTGGTTTATAATGATTTTTCAGATAAGTTAATAAGACACGACGATCAATTTTAGAAACATTTTCAATTGGGCAAAGTTTTGATAAGCCTAATGTATTATTTTGGAAAGCTGCCTAAGTAAAAAATATTTTAAACAAAAAGCCAAACTTCAAATATGGATTTATGTAAAATATATTACTTACCATATGTACTAAATTTTCTAGTAATTGATCTTGTTCAGGTCTTATCAATAATGTATCATGTTCAAAAAGAATTGCTTTACTTGCACCCATTATCTGTTGTATGTTATATAATATTAATAATATAATAAGATTAATTTACCATAAAAATACTTTTTTTAAGTATAGTACAAATCATAATTAAGATTAGGAACTTATATGATTTAGAATATTTGTCAAAAATTATTCAATATATAAATAAATTTCAAGACTGAAGTTTATAGAAAAAATTATTTTTAATTATTATACTTTAATTACCTCATTTTCAGTAATCCTGGGTCGTAAAACTACATCAGCTAAAACTTTTATGATATTATCCACATATTTCCTATTAGCACTTGCTGCATATAACACTACATCTCTAGAAAGAAAAAAATATAAATAACAAATTTTAACTGACTAATAAAAATATATTACCGGGAACATTGTGCATCACACAAACCATTATATTTTTCAATCTCATCCAAGACTTCGTTGTCTCCAGGAAAATTAGAAGTTGACTAATAACCATAATGCAAATAAAAATAAATAAATACAGTTAAAAATTGCATAAAAAATTACATGATAAGATAATGTATTAAGTTGTACTTACACTAAAGGCCAATTTTTCGAGAAAATGATTAATACCACTTGGATATGCTACTTCATAACGACAGCCAGAATTTATCGCCACTAACACAAAATAAAATAATAAATTAATAAATAAAAAAATTTTTAATAATATTTGTTTCATATTATAAGTTTAAATTTACCTCCTACAGTACAAAATTCACCATATGCTATTTCAGATGCAATTCTTATACCACTAGGTAGTTGTGTTAAATTTGTTTTCACATTAGCAAGTTTATGTTTACTGTAAACAACATTTGGCAAGTTTGGCAATGGCTCAGTAAGTGGAGGTTGGTTGAAGGAACAAGTATTCTCAATTTTTGATGAAAATTTACATGATGTACTTCTAAAAATGTCAAAAAGTATATAATACATATAGTGTATAAAATATTATTAATTAATTAATGTATATATAAATGAATTTCTCTCTGTTTGTCCTTTATGCGTTCCTAAACAGCTGAACCGATTGCGACGAAATTTGGTACAGAAATAATTAGACTTATAAGCAGAAGATAGGCTAAGTTAAAAAAAAGATAGGCCCAAACCCGGGAGATGCTAAAACAGACATATTTTTAATTTACGATAGAAATTTTTGTTTATTGATAGTTGCTATTAATTTCAATAATAATTATAATTAGTATGAAAGAAATTAATAATAACTAACATAATCACAGTTAACAAATTTAATACACAGTTTGAGACATATAAGAAGTAAGGTTTTTTAACGGCTACAAAGTGGCCGTGGGTTCAGCTATTTATAAAATATTATAAAGTTAATAAATGTTTAATAATTTATTAAGTATCGTTTAAAGAATTGCATGTATAAACATTTATATAATTTTTCCATTTTTGTCAATCAAAGGTTTTATTTTATTCAAATACTGGGCATAGAACAAATTAAAAATTATAAAGCTAAATAAAATAGTCAAACATAAATTACAGAATATATAAAAGTAAGAAGTAATTATCTTTAATATGAACTCGCGTAATCCTAATTATAAGATACATAATTTAGCATAAAGAAGAACTAGTCTAACTAATGTATACGATAATTCAGATTAAGTGTTATCGCAAATTTAATTTTCTGCAATTGACCAGTTTTTCTAATATCTACCAGATTTTAAGAATTTATTAAAAATTGAAATATTTCATGATTCTGAAATAATTATTATTAAAATGAAGCAATCTAATATAATACTTCAATAGATTCAAAATAAGAAGAGAGGAAAGAACTAAATGAAAAGTTGCTCATAAATTTCCAGTAATGATCTTATACTTGTTATTTCTTCTCTACGGTAATATATATATAGGTGATTACACATTATTTATCTCTTGAACTTTTTAAACATCAAATTGTATATTTTCTGTCAACATAGAGGAAATATAAAAACTTATTTTTAGATATATGTTATATTTTTTTTACGTATTTTTCATAAATACTATTTTAAGATATTAAGTAATTCACATATGAATTAAATAATAATGATTACCGACAATAAATTTTATGACTAACTAGTATATCAAATACCCAATTAATTAAAAACTTCAATTGTATTATTCGTAATAAATATTTTTTTATGTTAAACCAAAATATTTTTTAAATATTTAGGTAGAAAAAATGTACTTTTTTTAATCGTATTTTTAACAATAAAAATAATGTACAATTTTTGTATTAATTGAAATACATTAGAGATAGTTTACAATAATAATAGAATTTACAAATCAACAAAAGCGGATTATAATAAATATAATATACATACAGTTCTTTCAATGACTTTTTTCTACCAAAGTACTTTAAACACGATACAGAAGAAAGTCGAGATGTCATGTTGACTGACGGTCGTTCGAAAATTTGAAAAACAAATTTTTTTCTCAATTCATGATTTTCATTGAACGTTACACATACCGATCTGAATTTATTGAGTTCAACTTCAAACAAAAGATAACATATAAAAACTCAAACTCGAGAGATGGCCGACGAATTATGTACAATAGATAGCGGTTATCATTCTAGGTATGTCGGACGAAAATCGATCATTTCAACATCGATATTATCATGAATATTTTTACTCTCATACCATCTTTGTCATTGCCAAGATTTAACAGAAATTAGCGGGAAATAAGAAAATTTACTGAAGTAAACAATACATAGACATCTTAATTCGTCTATAAGCAGTGGCGCCCACGTAGAGTATCAAATGGTACGTTCGCATTGATTTCTTGTGGATTCCAGGGACTACATACATTTGGGTGCCCAACTCTGAACTCTGGAGTAAACATTATTATAAATGCATAATTATTCATCTGGATCTTTAGATCGTTAAGTAAAACGTAAAGAGTTGACAGTGTCAAATATGCAAACAAATATAAATATATAACACAGTGCATATTTTAACTAATAGTAAATATTTTTTGTCGCCTAAAAAACGATATATTTAATTACTGGGCGGCAACGTTATCGTGTTAAAAATTAAGAGGTTTATAATAATTTTAAAATTGTATTTATTATTGTTTTCATTATGCTTGATTTTGTAACTTGTTTATCGTTTTATTTGATGGTTTGAAGTTGAAACATAACGTTCTCGTGTTCACATTTATATTTTGTAAACGACACATGAACGTCACTTGTTTTTTCAGGTTGAACGTAAACATGAACAATGTTTATATTTTTAATGAATTTCAACGATTTTTGGGATGTTCAAATTTATTTCATCATCATACTCATATGGCTTTTGAAAAACTTAATAAAAAATATTATAATAATAGAAAAAATTAACATGAACGTGAACGAGTTCCTTTTTTTATGCACTGAACGTGAACGTGTGCTAGTTAAATTTTTAACTGAACGTTTCGAACACTGTTTACATTAAAAGTTTAGATCATATTATTAAAGTTTTTAAGATTTGAATATTAAACACTAATACTTTTTTAATTCTATACTTTTTATTCTTATTTCTTTATAGGTATACTATATTGTTAATATTGATTTTATTAATTTTGTTTAAATGCGTGGAAATTTTTTTTTTTATTTGTCAAAATATTCACTGATATAACAACTAATCAGAAAGCACAGTATTGCGCCGTTTAAGTTCTAGCAATGCCAGTGTATCTTTACACGAACCAATTTTCCCGGTTATTCTAACCCATATATCTCTGTTTCCTCATAAGATAAACTTTTGAAATTTAAAACACAGATTAATCTCAAGTACCTATCATAGGACGCTGTAAGAAAATGAGCCCTTCATATTGTACCATTTCGAAATGGGAGGATTTTAAAATTTGCAATTTTGTTACTGACTCACTCACTCACTGATCATCAAAATTATAAGAAATTTCCCGTATGGGTCCCGCACAAAGGTAGGTTTTACAGTGTAACTAAAGGGAAAAATAAAAATTAAATTTTTTTTAAAATTAACGCCGCTTTAGAGAGTGTATTTCCAAACGTATGAAGTGTCGCGCTTAACACGCATAAATGTTTTCTTTCAAACAACGTTACAATATGGTAATAAGAAATTGTTTGTAGTTGACTTATATATACATTTATAAAACATGTGAGCGAGGTCCCAAATTCAAAATTAGTCAGGATGACCGCGCTTCAACTGGTGCCGGATATAAAATATCAAGAACAAAAAGTGAACTGTATTAAATTATATAACCTTTATTATAATCAAAACGCGGCAACAACCAACGAATACAAAAAAAAAACCGAACATGACAGCAATAATATAATCGCACAACGGATTAAAATAAACTGTCTACATGGTGATGACGGCGCGAATTTATAGCCGGTCGCCACCGGGTTAGTCTACTCCTACAATAGATCCGTATTTCTCTCGATCCGATCCGATCCATCGTTATCCGATGGCGTCAGACATAGAATGCCTACAATGGTCCCGACGTGATCCGTTGCATACTGTATACTATTTAACCGTTCTTCTACTATAGTCTGCAACAGAAGCCATTGCAGTAAATACAATTTGCAGTGATTGCAAAATGAGTGATTCTGATAATGATTTTCTGTGCTGGTTTTTGATGGAAAATAACGGCCTTCTAAATAATCGTAGAACAAAGGCCATGAATTCAATTTATATCGATCTAAAGGAGAATTTTTTACAACTTCGTACCTATGCGGAATTACCCGTTCCGATTGATTACCACAGCTCACATTTTATATTCCAGTTGTGGTAAGCTTTTACCCTCTGGTCCCACAAATGAGGTTAAACTCTCACAAGCTGTATTAACATTTTTTTAAAAAAAATTATCTAAATTTTAACTTGATAAATTTTTTAATTCAACGAGTTTTAAGATTACCAATTACGCGTCGGACTAGAAACAAACATGATTGATCAAATCGAATAGTGTCGGGAGTCGTCGGGAATAGAGAATTCGGGAACTTCGTTTCAATTGTAGGCACTAGCATTAACATCAAGATGTTTGTTTTTCTTTCGACGTCATCCGATATTCAGACGACGCCAAATCGGATCTAATGTAGGTGCAGCCTTAGAAGGCAGGTAGAACGATAGGTCAGTTCTAGAATATTCGAGACAATACCTATGATAGATAAGAGTTCGCACCGTACCTGTCCGTCTCGAATATTCTAAAAAAATTGAGATTATTCTCGTCAATTATCGAACTGTACTCAACAAAGCTTAATAATGTTTTCGTAAATTTTATTCAACTACAAAATATAATATAATTATTCAAATACGGAATATTTTAATAATATTCGTCGGTATACAGATGATAATTTTACGTGATAACGTCATAAAAAAACATTGATGAACGTATGACTAGGGACGTAATTTAAATGAAAAAACTGGGGGTGCTAAAGCCCTATATTTTTCGTGTTCCTTAATGGTTATAGATACCCGCAAACTGTACAATTCAACAGTTACTAAAATAGTTGGTAAATATATGAATATTTCTAGATTTAAATTGTTCACTTTGATTTTATATTTTTATTGCGTGTATAACAAATTATCTGTCTGTAAACACAAATGTTTTATCACATGTTCACTTTTAGATTTTGACTGAAGCGAAGGATATTATGGTTTCATAATGACGTTTGTATTTTATTTGTTTAACTCTTTTTCGGATAGAAATACTGGTCCAAAAGTTTTTTCTAAGACCTTTTTTAGATTTTAAATTGGTATGCGGTAGTACATTAGATAGGTCATTTTTTTAAATCTTAATAGTTTTTCTAGACGTGAGAAAAAAACTGTCCTAAAATGGAAAAAATACGCTGTAAATAAGACTTTCACATTTAAAATTTTAGTTATTTAGTTATAATTCCAAAAGTAATGTGCCTTGAAACTTTTACCCTATAGCAGATATTTATTTTTTGTATTGTGAAATATTTTCGTACTGTATAAAAATTTATATATTTATACAAAAAAACTCAAAAACTATTGTTTTTCCATACATAATGAGTAATGAGTATTTAAATTTAAATTAACATGAACACATTTGGGGATGCTAATTTCTAAAATGAGGATGCTAAGCACACCCAAGCCCCCGCCCCTAAATTGCGCCGATGTGTAAGACCAGAGATGGAACTAGGAATTTTTACGCCCGGATAAAATGTTAAAATTACGCCCTATCCATAGACTAATAAACAAATACTCAAATAAATTGTGTTCTTATAATCGATATACAATCGTACTTGAGTTTTAACCTAATATCAGTATTTAACGAAGTTAAAAATATCAAATTAGTTGTTAATAATTACGAAAATTACAGCCTCTAAAATGTTACGCCCGGGGATAAATCCCCGACTTCCCCTCCTCCTAGATCCGGCCCTGTGTAAGACTATCTATTGATTAATCTATGACTTAGAACGGATTCCGACCAAGTTCGAAATCATCAGCTGAGCTTATGTGCACCGACATCAATTCCCCATTTGCTTAACTTATGCCATTACCATCCATAAGTCAGGGATTAAGTTTGCCAAATGCTTTGTTAGATGTTGGCAAGTCAACATTCTCGTGTGGTAAAGCATACGTGGCCCTCTCCAGGGCGACGAGCCTCCAGAAGTTCACTTAATTAATTTTGATCCCTGTCAGGTGAAAGCCAAGGATAGTGTCATTGTTGAATATAACCGTCTAAGAAATTTGTATAGGCCAGACTTAACAGACATTTTATCTAAAAAGTAGCAACGACGAAAAATAAAAGACCGTACTTGGCTATCATTGCCTGGTATTGACAACGCTCAAGAGTCCAATTTTTCAGTTCCTCAACAGAAACCCAAATGGTCTTACAAGAGAAAATCTACGACTTATAAAAAATAAATTTAAAAATTTAAAAAAAAAAAAATAATAACATGTCGTCCACGATGCCGAAGCCCGCAAAAATAAATTATATTCCCAAAAAAAACCTATCGGTGAAAAAAGGCCAAGTTCCAAACTCCCTCCCAAAAAAGTCGGCCTATCAAAGTAATAAAATCTACATTGTGACAAAGTCTGGTATTTTTTAATTTATAACCTCACTGCACTCCTACATTGAAGAGCTACACTCCTCTTTTATTTGTATTGTTTAATACTTGGCTAGTTTCTGAATGAGGCATGTATGAAATATAATAAATGTACATTGCCACTAATGACGACTTAACAATACTGCAGTAGACGTAGTAGTGGGAGATTATACCGGTGGCAACCGGCGTCGTCAATAAATGCCGCCATGTAACAATATGGCAAATTTAATACTTCTAATAACTATTTAAATAATTAATTTTTTGGACTTTTCTCTTTTGGTGGCTCATCTGCATACCGAATACTTGCGTTAGAAAATAAATCATGAAAAGTCGATCTAATAGAACTTCAGATATAACTGTCATAAGAAATCGCCTCACGTTTTAATAGTATAATATAAAGAATAAAGATTAAGATTATACACATAAAAAAAATATCCAGATAAATAAACAGTTGATAACTAAAGTATTTATACAAAATAAATAAAATTTATATTCCTATCCAGATAAAATAAAAGATAATTAATATTTTGATTTACATAATTATTTTACTTCGTTTTAAACAAATATACCTGTGCCCTTAACATAATATAAATATCTATAGTATAATAAAGAAGTAATTTAAGATGATGACATAGGCTTAATTATTTATAACATTAAAAGTGCAAAATATTTTAAAAGCAATAAATATTTGATTAGGTATATGAATTCCTAAAATCCAAATGTATATACCTAATGAATTTTTAATAAATTGTATAAGTATACAAATTTAACATTAAAATAAAAAAAATATAAAAATATTCCGATATTCCCAACACTACTTTTTATTTCTTTAAAATAAAAAAAAAATTAAAATAAAAGGGGATAAGTTAAAGTTGAACTTGAAAGCTCAATTTTTTTTTAACAGTGGTAAAATTTGATTTTGCCTAGTGCACTATTTTGGCTTGGACTGGCCCTGGAAATAGTTGAGACGTTTATATCAACACTTGTTCTTTTAAGCTCCATAAACTTTCAAAGATGGAGATATTCAACTCTGTCACTTTTAGCATTTGGCTAAGACACTTTTGTTATCATCAATTTACATAAATACAATCAATAATTAGTATAGTTTGATAATGATATAACATTTTTTATGAATACGCTTTATAAAATTATAAAATATGTACAGTAGATAGAATTTGTAGTGTTGATAATTTAAGGTAAATACTATTTAAAAAAAGAGTAGACAATTTTCATACTTCTGTAAAAATATTTATAATTTTTGAATTAAAGAAATTTCAAACACATAGTAATTTCTTCTTTTTTTTTTGTAATTTAAGAACATGTATAGTTAAACTGTATATAATAAATAAAGTGAAATTGGAATGTCATAAATGTATATAATATAATTTTAAATATAAAAATAATTTACAATCAGGGGCAAGAATTTTATAAGATTTTAAACTTAGACTTAAAAAAAAAATCAAATAAATGTAGATATCCATAATTAATTAAATCATGACATTTTACTCTTATGTGAATTATGTTATACATCAGTGATAGTTTTAATATAAATTCAGTGCACAAGTATAAATTTTGTAACACATCATTTTTTTTAGAAAATATATTGAATAAATTAATAACAATAAAATACTGACTTGTGAGTCATACCACTATGAGCAAATTAAGATATATGCCCAACATGCTTCTATTTTTCTTGTTCAAACTTTTTAAAAATATATATTATACATAATTTATAATGTACATGAATAAAATAGAATAACAAAAAGCAGATAATAAAAAGTAATGGAATTAAAGTATAATAAATAATATAAAAATAGGAAATTAAATTAAAACATTTTTTTTTTTACTTCAGTATACCTAGTCATGTATGTACTATATTCTTCCAATGCCAATAATGATTTCATGTCAAATAAATTTCCTTCAACACATAATAATGAAACTTTGGACGATGTTAATAATTCTTTCGGTATATCGACTAATTCTAAACAATTTTCTTCTAAACGTAAAGTCTTTAATCTAGAGCATTCTGCTAAACCAGCTGGCAATTTTCTTATTTGATTTTGATTAAGATTTAATTCAACTAATCTTGACTGCTTAATCAGTTCTGGCAATTGAGTGATGTTGTTTTTAGATAAATCCAATGCTTCCAAGTGTTTCAATTCACACAGAAATTCTGGAAATACACTAAGTTGATTGTCTCCAAATGAAGCACGTTTAAGAAACATTAAATTATTCAATGGAGGTAATGATTTTAATAAATTGCAATTTACCTGTAATGTTTCAAGCTTTGACAGCCCGTTTATTTCTTCAGGCAGATTTTCTAACAAATTATTGCTAACGTTAAGAATTTTTAACTCTTTGAACTGACCAACAGATTTTGGTAATATTTTCAATTTGTTTTTAGACAAATCCAAAGTTCTTAAGGAAAGGTGAAGCACGTCGATTGAATCTGGATATTGTTTTAGATGACTATCCGATAAATTTAATACTCCCGTTTTTTTGGAAGTTTCCACATGGTTCTTCAAACTTGACGCGTTTCCCATAGTTAATATTTCATACACTTTTCATCGTATGAGACACTACAAACGATCGGCTGTGCTATGCGTCGTAATTTCAAATCAAATATAATTCGAACTTAAGTACTCAAGTCCATCCTAAACGTATAGATATTAAATAGTAAATTAATATACTGATAAGTGATATATTTTTATCAAGAATTTTTATTTATAATTTTATACCAATTGCCATACCGTACTGTTATAATGTGGTGGTACTATTTGTGGATTCTAATTTGGGGTTATCTATATTCGTTGCATGTTATCATATGTTCTCCCCCACCCAGCACATTTTTATTGTTTACAATTTTTTTCTCACACTTTTCTTCCGTTCCTTTATGTACGATTTATTTACATAATTTATAGTTGAATAAACTACTGTTGCCTATATGTCGGTCTTCATGTGATTTTCTCACAGAGTTTCTTACCAACAAAATGATCAAACAAGTGTTCAAATCATTGCCAGACAATAAACCAATATCGGGATTATGTATTGTCGAAGACTTATCAAAATGTCCCGCAGGATACACTCCGGTGAGTTATTATTTTGACTCATGTTATTCGTTTTTTCTTGGTGCTATAATTATAATGTTAACCGTTAGCGAATTTTATTATTGGGCATTGATTAAATTTCCATAGTTTTAATGGAGAACAAAAATACAATAATGATTGAATATTAATATTATATTTATATATAATTTACTGAATGTAAACTGGCAACTCGGTTTTTAAAACTATCCATCAAATATGTATTTTTGATACATTTATTTGGTTATTTTTCCATTCCTAAAATAATGTTCTGATATTAAAAAAAATTTTGAAAGAAAAAAAACATTTGTGCATTTTAATTGATTGCTCAAGATTATTAATACACCATATGGTATTTACATTGAATCACGTGATGGTTACTTATCATTGATTAGTCATTACAATAATTATTACTTATCAGGTTTTTCTTTGTAATCTATAAGACATTTATAAATTTTATGAAATTAATTTTTAACCTGCAGAAGCTTAAGTCATTGAATGCATTAAAAATTGATGGAACTATAGTTTTTTTTTGTATGTTAATACACGGATAGGCAAAGCATTATTAAAATTGTATAAAGCTTTACATATTTTAGGCTTCTTAATATAATGTTAACAATATATATTATATAAAAATTAACAATTTTATTTATAATAACTACCTGTTTACCTGTGTATATCATTAATTAAATAATTAATAAAGAAATGTACATAAAAAACCATATATTCTTTAGATTTTATAATGTAGACATTTAAGATAACTAATTTAAGATATTTATAAACAAATATTTAAATAATATAATAGTATTATATATTTAAATATTTAAATTTCTATATTATAAAATCTAAAGAATTTGTTGTTTTTTTTATATACATTTCTTTATTAATTATTTAATTAATGATATACACAGGTAAACAGTTAGTTGTTATAAATAAAATTGTAAATTATTAATTTAAGAGTACACAATGATTAGAAAATATTAAATAGTAGGAGTATAAATTATAATATTTAGAGTAAAATATGCTTTTTTTTATATCTTTATTATACACCAAAAAAATGTCCAAACATACATAGGCTGGTCCTTATTAATTTGGCTCTGTGTATAGAAGCATTACTTTTTTATTATGTTCCGGTCATTGATCATAATCATATTATGTTCAAGACTTACCAAATTAGTTAAAATATAATCAAATACTGTTCCATATGTAAACTTCCTCCAAAGGATAAGTGTATGCTTTAAATTAGTTAATTTTAGCATAACATTTTATTATCTGTGTTTAGATATCAAAAACACATGATCAAGATTCAGATGCTGACTTACATTCCCTGACATGGAAAGAGTCTGTGTTTATGGGAAAAAAAATTGGAAGATATTTATGTTTGTCTAAAACAGAAGGAATCTCAGATTATATTGTAGTAAATATAGATATAATAAATGAAAAAGATGGCCCTCCAGATGGTTATTGTTTAATATCCAAAACTATTGACAGTGGTATTCAAAATATCATAAAACTATTTAGCTTTCTAATTATAATAAATTTAATTAAAAATATTCATGTAATATTAATACTATTTTAAGATCAAAAAGCCTGGAGAAAACGTCAACTGTGTTATAAATTAACTAGGAAAAGTCAAGCTCCATATGCAATAACTGATATTATATTATTGAGCCGATCAAAAAAAGCTCCTAGTGGTTTTAATTTAGTTGGGTATGACTTGTTACTATTTAATTAATTACCTTCATAAACAATTGGTGTTTAAATATAAACTAATTTTAGGGATTTAAATGGTTTAACACTTTGTTATAAAACCAGCGCTCAATCTCCAGCTAATGGGCCTATACCACCATTAACATATAGGTATGTTATTATATTATTTAGCTCAGTAATATACACAACATGCATTTATTTAAATAATATGTTTTATATTATAGCATAGCACCAACACCACCATTGCCTACAGACAATTTTCCAAACTGTAATGGACTTAAAGGTTCACTTCCTAGTTTAGATTCAAGTACTAATGCATTGTGCCATGATTATGATCGACTTGTATCATTAAAACCAACTCGTCCAGCTCCAAAATTACCTCCATCGTATTCAACTTCTAACTATTCTACTATAAATTCTTATCAAAGTAAAATTAGGCTTTATTTTGCGAATATAAATTTATTTTTATTGTAATTTAAAATTTTATTCTTTAGGTTTAGAAGGTATTCCATTCATATTAAATCAAAATATTGTAATGGAAAATAAGTCAATATTAAAGGTAATTTATAAAATAGTAGTTCATATTATTACAGTTAATAAAATTTTGTTTTATAGGATATACCAGAAATTAAAAAAAAAACCCTTGAAGACCTTGATTTAGAGGTATGTATAAGATTATATATATTAGCATTAATGTTTTCAACATTTTTTATAATTTATATTATTACTATTCTAATTTTTAAATAATATTGTATAATATTTCTAAACTAATATTTAAAGCTAAAAACCATTAATTTTAGTACTTATTATATATAAATTCAAGATTTTGATTTTTGAAAATGTATGATAAATCATATGAGTCAAACAATTAGTGTATTATCATTGATAATAGAATAATTCTATAACCAATAATAATATGTTGTGTATGTGTGTGTGTGTGTGTAAATTTCAACCAGAAAGGTACTTAAATCATCACAATAATAAAATAAAATATTTCTAATAGAAATGTCTAGTTGTTACTTTGAGAAGGGTAATTTTATGAATTTCCCAACAGTTTTCTTAATAATGGCTATAGTTGCTATATATCTTAATAAGAACTAACAAACAATTTAAAATAATAATTATTGGGACATGACATTTTCACTGAATGCTTGTATTACCGTTTACTGGAAAAAGTATAAGTTAAATTAAAAAAAAAATTATACTTTTTCTAGTAACTGGTGATACAAGCATTCAGTGAAAATGTCATATCGCAATAATTATTATTTTAAATTTTTTGTTAGTTCTTATTAAGATATATAGCAACAAAAAAAAAAAGTTCAAAAAAAATTTGAGCTATATATTAAAAATTGAAATTTTCATGTTTTCTTAACTTTTTTTATTGTTTGGACTAAAAGTCTTGAAAATTTAAATACAAAGTTTCTCATATATAATTATATATATATATATATTTTTTTTAAACCATTTTACAAGTTTTTAAATTTTAAATTTTAACAAAATTAAAAAATTTAAAAAAATTTGCTTCATATTTTGCAGTTAAATATTAATAAAAAGGTTCAATTTTTGTTCTCTAGGTTTGAAAATTTAATTGAATATTTTTTATATGATTTTCTCTAATTCAAAAGAAAAAATTCTTGGAAAGTCACAAAATTAATATATAAACATAACAAAATGAAAAATTGACAAAAGTAGATATATTAATAAATTATATTAATTATTTTGTTAAATACTTTTTTCATAGTTTCAAATTATTTTAATGAAGTTTGTGCTGTTTATAAGCCCTTGACATTTTTCAGTATTTTAGATGCTTTTTTTTATGAAATTTAGAACATTAGAAGTTCAACCTACTTTATTAAAAATGTTTGTTCTTCTATATTAAACATATTTAAAAATAAAAACTACACCCTTTATTTTTTCTTTAAAAATTATAATATAAATTCTTTAACTATGTTACAGTATAACTACAGTTTTGAACAAGAACGTCAAGTGTGATTTTTAATTATTATACAAATTGTAAGTCTGTATCTTCAATTAATATACCTCAAAAATACATCATTGTATGTTATGTATTGTTCTATTTTTTGCAAAATTTGCAACTTGTAAGTTTCTTCATCCAAGTCCTACTATAGGTTTAATTGAACTTGTAATTTCTATTAACTATTATTTATGTTATTAATTTTTTTATCTTCCTAAATTTTAAATATTATCTATTAAAAAGTGTGAAAAAAATTATAAAATAATAAAATTTAGAAGAATTTTACATTTCTTTGATGATGAAATAGTATTTATAATTTTATTATTTTAAATAAAAAATAGTTTTCGTTATTATTAGTTGTTAATTATTATTACCAATTGTATTATTTAAAATTTTTTTTTTTATTTTTGATCAAATTATCATGACAAAATGTATCAAAAATAATTAATAATAAATCCAAATCAATATTAATATTTCAAAAAAATATTCTCTGAGATCCCCAAACAAAGTAGTTTACTCCGGAGTTATTTTATTCAAAGTTTAAATTTTTAAACATTTTTTGTTTTTCTTCTGTGTTCTACTAATTTTGATTTAGTAGTAATCTTTTTATTTACAGTGTTCATTTAGATTTTTTAAATAATTTTTTTTTACTCTAATTGAACTTAGAACAATGTTGTAAGTTATACAAATTATTATGTTAATTAAAAATACCATACAAATTCAAAATACCTAATATAAATTGATATTTATATTAAAAAAAATTGTACTAAATACTTTATATGTTTATATTTATTTTTTCCAAATATTAATCTGCTTACCTCTGGACTTTGCCATCATTTTTTTTTTCTGACATTTGACGAAATTTGGTTACTTACTAGAATGTTTATAAATATTATTGGTGACAAATTAAACTTAGAATTAATAAAAATTAATTCTATTACCTAATTTATATTACATTTTAGTTATTATTTTTCATGCCTTTAATGGATAATAGATCCTTATCCAAAGTTGTTTAAAAATTGTTTCATTATTTATAGCTATTTTTCATTACTATTAAAAATTAGAAATCTCCATAATTTGTATAATGAATGCATACATATATTTTATGTATTGGTGCTGCTGTTAATGATTAATTACTTAATAATAGTTAAAAGCTATTTATTTCTTTTTATACTATATACCTTGTGTGTATAAAATATCTTGTTTATTATTTCATACATTGAATAGTTAAAATAGAAGTCACTTTATCATTAATATAAATTATTTAATCTATAGGTATTTATTAGTAAATATACAGGGTATATTAGATAATTTAGTATTAATTAAAATGATCAATAAATATTAATATATTAATTAAATATATTACTATTTCTTTTTTTAATTAAACTTGTTACTATGTAAATTATTTTTCCATCTATATAATATCATACAGTTTATACTATAAGTATGTAATTGACATGAATAATTTTATCACTTAAATCATGCCATATGCTGATACTCATAATTTAAATTTAATAATATTTTGTATCTTTTTAATTTGGTATGGTACAAATTAAATAAATATAGTTCAAAATAATTCATACTTAATTTTTCTGAAATTTTGCTATAAATACCAACATCACAATTTAAATTTTACATTAATTATGATACTTATCATTTTTGGAATTATAGCATTTTAATATATTTAGTTTAAATTATTATTATTTAACAGCAATGTTGTATCAATACTTAATACTAATAATTAATATTTAATAAATACTAATATTGATATTTAAAATTATTTAAGTTTTAAATTTTATTTGTATAAAAATTATATAATTATGAGTATATTGTACTTGAACATTGTTTATAAACAAAGTGTTCCAAATTGCTTTACTCAAATTTATTTTTAAAACAAGATAATTGAACACACTTTTGATTTTAGTACTTACTACTTAAAACTTTTTCACTACATAGAATGCTTCAATACTTGTATTTTATGTTTAATTTTATAATTTAAATCTTTCATTTACTAAAAATAGAACTTAAGACACCCAATTTATCTATTATGAATCATGCATATTTTAAAGTGGATTGTAAGCTAATTTATTTTAATACTCTTTAGTTAATGAATTAATTGATATAACCAATTGTATTTTTTATGTGTAAATATTTAATTAAGATAATAATTACTACTGAATTAACTTTAATGCGTCAAATATAATGTTTCGTTAATAATAAATACAGATTGTACTATATATAAATAAGTATTTATTTTTTAAATTTTATTAATATTCAATAAATAATACACATTCTAGCATTCTAGCACTTATTAAACAATTAACTTTCAATAATCTATTTTAGCTAGCTACAGTATTGTACTAAAAAAATAATTTTAAATATTATGTATTAGTTTTAAATAAATTTAGTTTTTAAATTATGTCAATTACTTATTAAAATTTATTTGTCTCATTAAAAATTGGTTTGTTATAAACTATTACAAAAAATATAGGTGTATTACAATGTTATTCTGTTCTGTATAAATCATTAAATTGTATTCTTAAAAGAAAATTCTAGCATATTTACAAAATGTTCTAATTCAACTACTTATTGCTATGTTAGTTTTGGATAAAAACAAAAGTATTTTGTTGCCATAATTGTAACTATAAAATGTTTCCTTGTATGTAAAAACATTTACTGCCTCCATGATATAACTAGTTTATATATAGTATTGCCATACTAGTATCTCTCGGGATCCATATTTGCTCAATATGAGACTTAATTCAGAATAATAAACATTGAAATAATGTATAAATCAGTAAATATGTTTTATATTTATATATTTATATATACCTAATATTTTTAGAAATAGGCAAACTATACATTGTTATAAGTATTGAAAACTATCATGTGTTTTTTTTTTTTTTGTAACATTTATTCTACCTATACAAATTAAATAAAAAGTTATAATAAATTGTTTTTTTTTCTTTAAGGCCATTAAGGTAACTAAGCTATTTTCGTTTTTTAGATAGGTAGTGTGGAATATATTAGATTGAATATATAAGGTGACAGTGGTGGGTTTTTCTCTTGGGTAGTCATTCTGCTTGGAAAATAAAACCAACTAGTGATCAGGTTCAAAACAGTGACTGCATGTTTAAACACAGGGCTGCTTTATCTTATCTGACAATGACACCCCATATTGATAATTCAGATTTACCTATATTTCATTCATATTATGTAATTTTCTTTATATGTTGATATACTTCAATATAATTTGTGACTCTGCAATTACTCTGGATGATTTACCTGGTACAAGTATTGTACAATACTTAATATATACAGTAAACCTAATCAGTAATCACTCATAATACCACTTTACAATTATAATTAATAACCAAATAAATTATATTAAAAATATGTGTAAGTCTACAGACCTCATTTTATATTATTACTTTGGAAGTAATGGTTGTTTTGATAATTCTGAATTGGTACACTGTTCTTAAATCAGTGTAATTTTTTCTAATTTCTAGTAAAAGATATTGAAAATATTTATTATATTAGTAAAAAATCATATACTTCTATGATCTAATGTGTCAATGTTAGTCACCAAACTTGCACTTCAACGTCCTTGTAATTTCTTTACTGATCATTACTATTTTATTTCAGTCCCTATAATAATAAATTGGCGGTATATGTACTACTTTAATTTGAAAATAATTGCCTGGATCCAAGGATTTCATTGAATGTATTAACAATTTCCCTATCAACACTTCAGACCAGAACTTGATCATATTATAATTTTTACATTTTTATTTAAAGTGACTTTGATAATTTTTTTGAGTGGTCTCAGTCATTAGGCCCGACACTTAATTTTGATAAATGTCATACAATGACATTCTCTAGGAAAAGCTCTTCTATAAAATGGCCCAATGAACTATCTGACTCAACTATCTCACGTGTTGAAACTATTGTTGACTTGGGTTTTAAGTTTAATATTTGCCTCATCTCTGGACCTCATATAGATATGACATGTAGTAAAGCATACAGAATGCTTGGATTTATAAAAAGACTAACCCAGGATTTTATACTTGGTTTATCTTTAAAAACCCTATACTATGCACTCGTACGACAGTTTTTAGAATACGGCGCTGTTCTGTGGGATCCACATACCTCTTGTCACACTCGACGAATTGAAATGGTACAACGGAAATCTCTTAGTTTTACTGGTTTTATTCTCCATATTGAACATGCACCTCATGATTATAGCCCCATAGCATACGAACTTAACATAGAAACACTTGTGAATCCAGGTAGGTGGGTGGCTGAAACATAAAAGTTGATGACACCTCATAACCGAAACATCTCACCGATTATATTCCAGGGGCGATCACCCCTCCCCTGGATCTGTATTTAAGAAATCGATTATATGTGAGATACACATTTCAAATTTTTTTAATGTGGATCATTTTAGAACGAAATCAAATTACGCGTGGCTGTGAATACTGAATTAGGCTTTTTTCGGGTCCATACTTATTTATTTATTTATTTATTTTGTACAGAACGGGCTGGAGCCCAGTTTGATTAAACATACAAATATGATAGTAGTACATAATAATAGAACATGTTTAATAATACATAGTAGGCAAGTTTGCGTAATAAATCAATAACATAATTTTTTTTAATAGATACATAATTCACAGAAAGTTATAAAAAATACGATAAGTGTGATGGGTCCTTATTAGCAATATCCATCATTCTAATAATTGGTTGATTACTCGCATAGTTAGTGGTACATCTAGGCACAAAAAAAAGGTATGTTTGGCGGGCATTAAATGAGGGAATTTTAAAGTTGATCAGTGAAAGAATCTCTGGAGCATCAATTAAGCCATCTAATAATTTTGATAAAAATCTCAAATTGGCCAATGTTCTCCTGTCAGCTAAAGAACTCAGGCCAAGCTTAGTCGATACAGGACCATACTCATGAGGAGGATGATTAATTTTTAGGATAAAACCAGCGTAGTTTAAAAATTTCCTCTGAACTCTTTCAAGTGCACTTTTATTACTCACCGTGTGTGGATCCCATATGATAGCGCCATACTCTAACACTGACC